GATGATCCAATTCAACCCTGGCAAAAGTCCAGAGGGAAGGGGCCGTCACTGTTCTGTTCGGTGAAGGACTGAAATGGAGGCTAGGAGATGTAAGGTCACAGGAATGAAGGTGAGGAGGCCTGAGGGTGTTTTGTTTTCTGTTCATCTTCAGTGGTATATCCCTTCACTCCACACAGATTCTCAGTTACAAGTCCTTTAAGCTGCATTCAAATTAGTTATTTAAATATGACTAGCACATCTTGTCAAATGAGTGTTTAATGGTTCCCATAGTCACACACAATGCTTTCTAAGTCTTTTTCTTCATCATTTTTTGCTTCATGCCTGTTCCTATAGTCTACTGCCCACTGTACGGACTGAAGGCAAGACTCCTTCCTCTCTCTCTTCCTGCAGCAACAATTTCTGTAGAACCTTCTACACCCTTCTGGGTAGTAGGCTGTGCAAAGGACACAAAGATTGTTGAAACACAGTCCAAGAATTGAATCATGTGAGAATTCTGAGTGCTTGTTAGAAAACTCCAAGAAAACAAAGCAAGGGTCTTGGGACCTCGGTTTCTTCATAACACGGAATTGTTCTTGGAATTGTCTTCCTGGCCCTCCCAGGTGTAGTAGATAGGAGTGAGTCCCTTCAGCTGTTGGTATTCATAAGTCTCCGTGGAAAACCTCTGAGGGAAAACGGTTTTGCTACGTGCAGCCTGTCCTTGTGATCATGAGGACTTGAGCCCAGGAGAACTCTACTCAGGGGACCTTCCGTAACCCTCAGGGTGTAAGCTGTCTGATGCTCTGAATAAAGCCGGCTATCAAATGAGACCTTAATCCGCCTCCTTTTTAGGTCCCACTCTCCCAGGTTCAGCCACCAGCTAGAGCAGTAAACAAAAGGTGACTGTGGAACATGTGGCCCTCGTCTTCCAAGACAGACAGGGAAAGAGGTGGGGAGGACTGCAGCCTAGGATTCAGGGCAACCGACACCCAAACTTTCTAGGGAGACCGAGGCAAAGCTCAGTGCCTAGGAAATTCCAAGCTGGTCTCTCTCTGGGGGGGGGGGGCTCTAGCGGGGTGAGTCATTAAGGCAGAGGAACAGAGCGTCACCAAGTAGACTGGGTCCTCTTATTGGACTATATTGTGAAAGCCTTGCTTGTACAACACACGCAGAAGCCTCTTCAGTACATTTTCCAGAGGGACAGATCCTCTAAGGGCTGGTTTGAAATCATGGACACAAGTCTGGTTCCAATGCTACTTCTGGACATAAACTGACCAATTTTTCCCCCAACTATAAATCAGGAATATTTGGCTAGGTACTTAACCTTTTGGGGGGATTTTGGTTATGATTATATTCACTCACATAAAATGACTTGCAGGCTACAATGGAATATACAAATGAAAGATTACTTCTGACCATTTTGGTTACAAATACTAATGATGACTGATGCCATGAGTTTCTCTTTTATCGAATGCTTTTCATTTTTTAAACTTTTATTTTGTTATTATTTTAAAGTGTGTGTCTATGTGTCTGTGTATAGCTGAGAGCTGGAGCTTGTAGAAGTCAGCAGTATCAGGCTCCCTGGAACCGGAGTTACAGGTGGTTGGTTGTAAGCCACCTGATATGGGTGCTGGGAACTGAACTCAGGTCCTCTGAAAGCATCATTATGTACTCTGAACTGCTGAGCCATCTGTTCAGCTCCTTGGTTTTTAGATTTTGACAGCTGGGGACAGATAGTAGGGCTTCTGAGAGTTATAATCCCTAGCCTCTGTCCTTGGAACCCAAGAGATCTAGGGAGGGGGACACTAGGTACAATTGTTTGTGTGAGCTATCTGTGCTGGGCCAAGGCTGAGGGAACTCTGCGGGCTCTTTACTCTGTCTCATTGCTGGCACACGCCAAAGAGAGAAGTGTCAAACCCAGATCCTTACTTGCATGCTCGGAAGAGGAAGGAGGGTGTTGCCTTTAGGTGTGAGCTCCCACTGAGTCCAGGCACTTTTATGCCCACCATCTTCTTAACAAGCTAGGGAACTAGGTATTATCACACCCAACTTATAGATGAGGAAGCTGAGGAGGTGAGCTAATTTTCAAATTTTAATAAAACTGAAAAATAGAAAGCCAAAATTTAAACCCAAGTTAACCACCTGCAAGATTCCCTGTGCCCTTGTTGCCTTCTCAGCAGGCTGCGTCCCCACAGAACTCACTCGTGTTAATCCTAAGCAACTTTCTTACTTGGGCCACTCTCCCCAGGTTGATGTATGAGGAGAGATTTGGTAGAAGTCTCCTGCTGCTCTTTTCTCCTGTACTTCCTATGATGAGACCCTTCTCTCCTACCCTGTGCCCTGACTTCTCCCTCTCTTCCAGTCTCCAAGAAAGGCCCAGGAGTCAAGAATCTCAGTAAATAAAGAGCCTGCAGAGAGCTCCCTGCCCCCTTAGCTACTGACCCAGAAATCCTGGTATACAACACACCCAAGAAAAGATATACATACAATTCTGCTCCAGGACGCCACATAAACTGTCAGTCTTTGGAGATGTTAGACGCCTCAAAATATGATTTCCAGATTGCCTGCTTTACAACTAAGAAAAATGGAGAGCCAAGAAGACGAACAGACACACACAAGGCCACATGCTAGTGAGAGCAGTGTGAGCTGGAGCCCAGATACAAAGAGAAAGCTTCAGCTTTTCCCACTGTGGACCCAACCTCTCTCTGGAGGAAGGCTCAGAGTCGAGATCTATGCAAAGCCCAGAAGCCAGGGCCTCTCTTTGACCTCTGCTTTGATCTGCTCACACTCCTGTTGAAGAACAGGAAGGGCTTCATCTTTCAACTCTGAAAGCGCATTTTGGAATTGGGAAGGGGGTTGGGGAAAAGACCTCCCATACTTGATGGCTAAGAGCGAGCAACAGTTTACTCTTGCTTAGAGAAAAGAAAGATGTAAGATCAGAGATTTAAGGAAAAGATGCAAGTTGACATTCAGCTCTAAGGTACAATGTAATCTCAAGAAAAGCATCCTCAAGCCCCTGGGTGGATATGGGATAGGGTTCTTTCTTCTCTGCCAGTTCCTTCTCTGTTCTGATAGAGCTGGATGCCAGGGAGGAGAGAGTGGGGTTGAAGTGGGAGCATGGGGGGAGGGGTGTCAGGAACTTTGTACAACCTCCAATATTTCCCTCACTCTGCTAGCACCCACAACTTCCCCTGCTAAGGGAAGAAAGAGGAATGAATTATTCAGTTTAATAATTCATACAAATTGAAAAGTTTACTATGTGTAATAAAGGGACCATAAGAGGGCAAAAGAGAAACATCCCTGTGTTCTCTTTGAAAGGACAGAGGTATGAAGATGTTTCTGATTACCTTGCTTTAGAATATAGATGATCCATGTGAAATTAGCAAGTAACTACTCCCTTCAAAGGTAGGTAGCTCCCTCCATTCAAAGGTACAGAGCCTCCCCCCTTCAATGGTAGGTCATCTTCTCCCTCCAATGGTAAGTAGCCCCCTCTATTCAATGGTAGATAGCTCACTCCATTCAATGGTAGGTAGCCCCTTCCTTCAATGGTAGGTAGCTCACTCTACTCAATGGTAGGTAGCCCCCTCCCTTCAATGGTAGGTAGCCCCTCCCTTTAATGGTAGGTAGTCCCCTCCCTTCAATGGTAGGTAGCCCCTTCCTTCAGTGGTAGGTAGCCCCTCCCTGTAATGCTAGGTAGATCAGAGTCCAGGAATCTTTTTCACAGAGCAGGTCTTGTTTAGGAATCAATCTTCTTCTTCAGCCCCATCTACCCAACTAATGAGATTTTACCTAAAAAGCTGGTTTTATAGCAAAGAAAACTGAGGTGAAAAAAAAGGGTTGGTAACAATACCCAGACTAGAATCCAATCCTCTCCTGCTGGTATAGTACCTGTGGCAATCAATATCCTCGCCCTGGCTTCTCACCTCTCCTCTCTCCAGGCAACTAAAATGCCATAAAAGCCAGACAATCCCTCAAAGGAATCGGCACCCAGGAGCTTTGACTGAGTCCTTGGCTGATAAATGCAGGTCATTTAAGGGCATCTCAGAAAGCTGTCTGTCTTCGGTGTCCTTGTGCCTTACGAGCTGAGGGCCTCTGAGACATACTACCCGGCTGTTCTGGAAAGGGCTAGCTGGCTCATGGAAGCCACCTGTACACGTGACAGAAGCAGAGTGAGGTAAGGGGAAGGGTCCCTGCAGACAATGAGGTCTGGGAGCTAGCTGAAGGCTAGACCCACAAGGCTCCAGGTCTCACTAAGACCTTTGGCTTTTTATCTGGAGTCACTACTAGATTTGGTCCGTGTCATAATCGGACACTTTCTTGGGGGTCTTTATGCAGCGGTGAGGACTAGACTGTTCAGGAAGATTGTCCTAGGCAAACAGCCTAGGCGGGCCGCACACCCCTGCTTCTGCCTCTCAAGTGCTGACATCACAGGGACACGCCACTGCACCTGGTGTATACACATTGTACATGGCACCGGTAGAAGAAGGAATCCAAAGAGGAGGATTTCTAGCAATTCAGAAGAGAGAAGACAGTGGCTTAGACTCAGGAGGTCAGAAAGTAGGTGGCGAGAAGCGCTTGGATTCTGGATTTAAAAAAAAAATCAACTGGCCAGAGAGAAAAGAGACTGGGTAGTAAACAGTGGGGTGACCAAGAAAATTGGGAGCAAGGAGAGTTCTAAAGCCATGAGGACGGAGGGTTTCCTGGGAGAAGGAGTGATGGGGATGAGTGTTGAATGTAAACCCTGGAAGACACTGGTACCCACGGCAGGAGCAGCACTTGACTCCTAACATCATGGAGTCCTGGTCCGCCTACCGACTATCATCTAGGGTTCCTTTATTGTGAGTCTTGCCTTCTCGATTAGGCTGCAAACTTGGTTACACCATGGATGATGAGTCAGCCTGTTCCCAGAGCACCAGGTCCTTGGCAGCCGTGGGGGCCTTATTGAGCCTGCTGCAGGTTCTGTGTGGCTTGCCAGCTCGCTCTGTCACCAGGGCGATGGCTGGAGCAATTATCCTCATGCTTACCTTGGACACAGCATTTCAGCTCCTTTGGGTCTATGACGCTCCTCCTGCTTTCCCGGATCACAGCCCGGTTCTTCTTGGTTTCTCCCCAGAGATTGGTGCCTCCGTACATGCTGGGAATGTTCAGAATGGCAATGCCTTCCAGGAAGATATTGCTCAGGTCCACCTTAACTCCATCACACTGCGAAGCAGAGAGAAAGCAGATCACAGTGGGGCTGGGTGTGGCAGGGCTTCTTAAAGGGTGTGGCTGGTCCTCAGCCACCCCAACAAGGCCTCTTGGAAACTGAATATCTATCTGGCAACTTCTTAGAATTAAGGCTTTGAACACTGTAGTGAGATGGAGCCATCTCATCCTGGTTGGCTCCAGGAAAGACAGCAGAGAATATCCAAAGGGCTAGAAACGCTTATGGGTGCAATTTAGAAGAAGGCAGTTGCCAAACTCCTATCCTCAGTCTGGATCCTTCCTAATCACAGTGAAGATCTGCCACGTCACCGGGTCCAGAAACTGATACCAGGTAGATTCTCCACAAATGACAATTTTTCACGTTACCCCTTTATTTTATCATCTCTGGGGAGAGGTGCCAGACGCTCAGGTTTGGGAGAGCTTTCAAACTGTCTCTCAGAGCTCCGTAAGTGTGGCTCTGGCACAGGAGCTTGCTGACTGCTGCAGCTGAGCTACTTCGTCTCGTCTCTGCCACCCCCAGCCCCCAGGGGGTTTGAAAGGTTGGAAGGCTTGAGGCTGTGTGCCCCACCTAGCTGTGAATCCTTTTCTGGTTCGATGCTTACCCGGGCAGGGGAAAAAACACACTAGCTTGGATTCTTGTTCCTCGAGATGATTGGAAACGTATTTCATTTGCAGAACAAATGGGACCCAAAGAGATAGCCTATATTGCCCAAGAATGCATAGGTAAATCCCACACTTGTGGAATTGGACTATAAATTTCTTTCTTTTCCTTCCTTCCTTCCTTCCTTCCTTCCTTCCTTCCTTCCTTCCTTCCTTCCTTCCTTCCTTCCTTCCTTTCTATCTGATTTCTGTCTCTTCCCCGCCACCGCCTCCTGCCTTTCTTAAAAGAAGCAAAAAGAAAGAAAAAAAAGATAATAATAATAATCTTTTTTTCTTTCTTTTTGCTTCTTTTAAGAAAGGCAAACAGCTGAAAGCAGACAGTAATGATCTGCGGCCACCTGGGTTGCCTCCTGCTGTGGTGTGAAGGCCTCCATCTAATTCCTGGTGGGTTAATTCCATTGTCATGGTATTACGAGGTGGGGCCTAATTAGGATTAGATGAGCAGGGAGCCCCGTGATCTCATTAGCCCAGTCGGGAAGGGAAGGGGAGAGCACAGTGCAGCGGCGCTTGTGCTGCCTCCAGAGAAAGGCCAGACCACGTGCAGCCCCTTGGCCCTGAACCTGAATGGTAAGGACCAAACATCTGTCACTTCCGATTTGCCCAGTTTGTGGTAATGAGGAACAACAGAAAATGACCTAAAAATACACAGAAATCAAAGGTTCCGAGTCTTGGCCAGAGGAGGACGAGAGAGCTGGAGCAGTGACTCACGGCCTGATTTCTTTGAAGTTCCTAATCAGTATTGCCACCTTCTGTGACTGGTCCCAGCCAGAGAATAAGAATACAGAGAGCTTTTCTGGTAACTGGGAACTCATTTCTGCACTGGGGAGTTTGGATCCTCTGAAAGTTCTCTGAAGTGGGTATGGATTCGTTCTTCCGGTTTCCTCCATTGGGCCTATCCTCCCTCTTGGAGCTAGGTGGCCTGGCCTTCCTCCTCCTTACATTCAACCAGTCCAATCAACACATCCCAGAGAGAGGATCATCATTACCACGGTAATGGGGTCTGTGGCTGGGGCTCAGTAAGCAGTGTGCCAACCTGGCATGCACAACACCATCCCTAGCAGTGCACACACCGGGCACACGGCAGAGTGCTCAGGGGGGGCTGAAGTTCAGTGATATCCTTGGTTACACAGTGAGTTCAAGGTCCATGTGGGATGCATTAGACCCTGTCTCAGTCTCAAAACAAACAAACAGAAAACCCAAGAAAACTTCCACCAGCACCACCACAACTACCACAAGAAAATCCATTTAAACAAAAACTAAAAACCAAAAAACCCCAAGGAACTGATGATTGCCACACCATCCCGCCAGTTACAATGGCTGCTGTCCTTGTGTATCTGGGAGAACGGAGGCACAGAGAACAGAAGCTGAGTACATTGCACAGTGTCCAGATGGCAGCGTACGAACTTCAAGGTAAGATTTAACTATTTTATCTCCCTCTCCCTCATCTGGCTGTGCAACCCCTGGGCTGCGTGTGACCAGGGCTTTGAACCTCCTTTCCAGACTTTCCTTATTTTGACTGTTACAGTTTGCACACACCACAGTTGATGACCTGACTAAGCGGTAGCATCCCTGGCATAGAAAACAACGGCACTAACATGATTCCGTGGGACAGGCGGCAACCACACCACTGTCTCTTGGAGCTGGGATTCTATCGCATTATCATGCTCATAAAACAAGACATGGACGAAGCACCTGGAAGAGCAGAACATGCTAACTACCATCATTTCTCTCATTCATGTGCTATGACCCTCACCAGCTCTTTCAGTTGACGCTAAATGATACTGTCACATCCACTGGGATTTCTGTCACCCTGACGCTCATCTCTTGACCTTATGCAGGATTGAAAAATGTGTGTGAATTTTCCAAGGTCATTAAGTTCTTCATCGCTCTACCTTAGCCATAGCGGTGGCACTGGCATCTGTTTCCCCATTTTTAATTTAGGACCTGTCTCAGTTCAACACCCTGTTGCTCTGATAAACACTGTCCAAACTAAGCCCAGGAGGAAAGAGTTAACTTGGCTTACACATCCTGGGCCACAGTCCATCACTGAGAGAATTCAGGGCAGGGACTCAAGTCAGGACCTGGAAGTAGGAACTGAATCAGAGGCCACAGAGGGATACTGCTTACTGGCTTGCTCTCCGGGGCTTGCTTAACCTGCCCTTCTTATATAATCTGGACCTTCTGCTTTCGGGCGATACCACCCACAAAGTGCTGGGTCCTCCTACATCAGCTATCAGTCCAGACAATACCCCACCGACCCAATCTGAGGGAGGCAGTTTCGATATGACGGGTTCTCCTTCCTAGGTGCTTCAAGTTCGTGTCAAGTTTATAAACTTCCACCAGCAGAAAGCCGCTAGCAATGCGGAAAAGAAGAAAACCTCTCGAAGGGCAGGTCTACTGAACTATACGTCTCATGTTTTGTTCTGTTCTCTTCTGTTGCTTTGCTCCACACATCATGTCACGTTCTCCTCAGCTACAGTTTTTCCAGAGCCAGGCTTCTAGGTCGGAGGTGTTCTCTGTGCTTATTCCTGGGCGTGGTTTCATGTTGCCTCTGTGTCTCCGTGTCTCTGTGTCCAGTCTCCCTTAACGCATGGGCTCATCCTGGCCTCCCTGTTGCTGTCACGGCGACTTGGGAACAGCAAGAGCCCCTTCCCCCTTTTCTTCTCAATGTGGTTAGTGATCTGTTAGGAGTTTATCTTGCAGAGTATTCTTATTGGTCCACTCTTCCTCTGCTACTACTAAATAGGAATTTAGGCTCTGGGTCACTGTGCCAAAACTTGCCTGCATTTCAAAATCAGCTGCCCTCAGCTCTGAACCTGGAACTGTCCTTGTCTTGTATCCCTTCCTGGATCAGAAGGCTATCCCTCTCCCTGGGTGGAGTAACTTCCACAGCACCTCTCTGTATTCATCACTGACTGAAATAGCTCTTCCCTTCTGAGAAGTAGTAACAGTCAGAGCTACCCTTGGCCAGACTTCCTGGGGCACCAGGCCTGCCTTCGCCTACAGTGCCTCTTAGGATCCTGATGGTGAGGGAGATGCCCCTGCTGTCCCAACGGATGGTGAAGCCGCTGGCTCAAGGTCACGGCACAGATGCAGATGGAGGCTGCCAACGCAGGCACTGGATGCCAGATTCCACTCTGAGATGAGGTGGTGAAGCTGATGCTGGGATTTACAGCAAAATTCAGCTTGCAGCTGTTGTTTGAATAATTGACTCCCCCACTGCCGTTCTATCTTAGAAGGGCTTAGACATTAGTGTTATTAAATCCCATCTCTAGGCCAGATTTGTTTAAAAACAACAACCCACAAACCCAAGAACTATACCCCCAGCACTCTCCCCTGACAGTAAGTCAACCTTTCTTCCTTGCTGGCAGCCTTAAGTGTTAAGTGTCTGTCCCATAGCCATAACCACCGAGGAGTGTTAAGTGTTGCTGCCTCCCTAGAAGAGCAACCCCCCTCTATTTGCTCTTGCTAGGCTGTTCACTCCCCTTCTCCACCCAAGGTAAAGTGGAGCAAATAAGAGAGGTGGGAGGACTCTGAGGAGTCTTAACACTGAAGTCTCTAGCCACCCTTGAAAAGAACACCCTAGGGTTCAGAGAGAGGGATTTAAATCCCGGCTCTGTTGTGAGACTGCGGTGTGATTCTGGGTTGGTCCTTAATCTCTCTGAGCTTTAAGTAGTCACCTGGAAAAGGAGGGAGGGGGATAACCAAGTTTTGGTGGGAGCTTTATGTCCTGCTTTATCTGAGTCTGGTGTTCCCCCTCCCACCTCACCCCGTTCCCTGACTTTGGCTGGAGCAGTTTAAAACTACCCCTCCTCTGCACACCAGTCTCCTAGCCACTGTCTCTTATTTCCTTCGGAACTCCCTGAAGATGCAAGGCTTGCTGAACTGAGTCTGAGAAACTGGAGTCAGGAGTGTCACACTGTAGGCCTAACTGGAACACAGGACGCACGTCCTATTCCCCTGCGAATGCCTCCGTGTTCCGTGATGTCATCTGGCTCCCTCCGGGGTAGCTCCAGGGAGAGCCTGGAGGCCTCTTCCTGACGCCCTGAGCTAGGCTGGGGCTGGCAAGCTCCGCTCCGACTCCTGCCTGAGCTGCACCCGCCCCAGCCTTTACATCCAGGCATGTGGCTCAGACTCACACTCAGATCGCCCCGCACGGGTGCTGCCACCAGCAGCAGGTACGACAGGGGCCACCGAGGCCAGCACAACTCCTGCTTCGGGGAACCCCGGTTGTCTGTTGTGGTTCATGGCGGCCCGGGCATCCATAGCTCTGGCTTCTTCAAAGCAGGGATGGTTCTTTTGGATAGAAGGTCGTTGTGTAGGCAACCAGAGACTAG